AGTGCTTTAGCAATCTTGTAACACAGTGCTGCTTCTTGTATGGTAAACTGGCCTCGTGTCGATAAAAGAGCTTTTATAATTAAGCAGACACCCTGGGGCAACTGGTCATGAATGGTGAAACCTTTGACCACCAAAATAAGGTCTCCAGCTTTGAACTTTCGTAAAACTTGGCTGTGACGTACAATAGCTACATCAGAAGTAGAACCTGGGTACAGCATGGAGCAAAATGTAAGTGCACCATTTGGAGGCACGCAAGTTACTGCTTTAAAAGTATGGCAACTTTTGTACATACTGTAGGCCATGGCATATGGGATTATCCATATGTGTTGGGATGTCCTGGGTTGTTTCAATTGCATCCATGGATGCTCTAGCAGAGGAAAAATCCTCAAAAGATTTTGGCAGAGACCCTGAAAAAAAGTTGGAAAAAAATTAATTTGATTATTTGTAATTGTGTAAAAAAATTGTGTTACAGTCAATTTTTCAAGAATACAATAAATTTAACTGCATTAAATTTTTGCAAGTCATTATGATAAATTTTAAAACAAACCTTTGCATTTAAAGGTACTTGGACACAGATTTGAAGTTAATTTTTTCTGTATAATATCACGAATTATATATTTTAATAGCATTTCACACAAAAATTAATTAAAAATCTTATTTCATTTAAAAGTTATTAAAACTTTTAATTTTTTGGCGGGTTTGATTGACTCATCCTTTCACTTTCACAATTTTTAACTTCATTCTTAATCCTTAGGAAAAGTGGCAATCTTGTTGTGTATTAATGAGAAACATTAAAACTTAAATCCGGAAAATAATTTTATTTAGAGTAAAAATGTTAGAAAGCAAAACTCCTTCACAAGTATCGTCATTCCGTTGTGTACAAAGATTAGCAAATCGAGCACACTCGTGTTATGTACACAGTTTTTGAAAACAGCGCGAAAGCTTTGTTATTGTTTGGTGTTTTGGTTCACCGGGTGCATTTAATCGCCAAAGTCTGCTCACAACAACTACACGGACTGACAATATATTGTGTGTTTGTTTTGCTTTCGAACATGTCTACTCTGAATTTTCTGGATTATAGTATTGATATTTCTCATTAATAAACAACAAGAATGTCAATTTTCCTAAGGATTAAGAATAAAGTTAAAATTTGTGAAAGTGCAAAGATGTGTCAATCAAACGCGCCAATAAAATTAAAATTTTAATAACTTTCAAACGAAATAAGATTTTTAATTAATTTTTGTGTGAAATGTTATTAAAATATATTAGTCGTAATATTATAGAAAAAATATTAACTTCAAATCTGTGTCCAAGTACCTTTAAGCTGACTTGGAAAACATTCTACGCTACATTCTACACTACGCCATCAGACAGCATCTTGTATAGGGAAAAGACCACCAATTATTTTCCCATAGAACTCCATACAAACCTTAGGCCTTCTCAGTACTTTACTATGACAATTTCAGAAAAATCTTTAGCATCATTTCAAACTTTGTTCTAAGCCCTAACAAAAAATACTGAAAAAAATATATGGTCCCATGGCGTTTATAGGTCAAAATTGCAGTTATTTTCAACTTATAGAGATTCGCAGTAAATAACACGCGGCATAAAAAATCAACCCCCACTCCTAAAATCTTCCCTGGCATTTCTATAGTTTCTGTAATATTCCCTCATCCTATCATTTATTTCAAAGGTCATTAATTTTACTTTAAAATGAAAACAATTAAATACCTGATTTCAGCCAATGGCGTAACGCCTACCCATTCAGTATTCGGTTTAATGTTCCATAACAAACAAAGCCATGTGTGCATCCGGGGATTTGGTGCTCTCATTCCTATACTTACATACTTACCTGTCCCAGAATTAGTCAATTGTGGTAATTTCAAAGACTATACACCTACCTGTGAACATGTATGAAATTTGAGTCCTGTGACTTCAGTGTATTGGATACTGTGACCATCTCAAATAATGACACCTTACTGCTACCAGCACAATTCAAAGGAGTGAATGACATCTGGGCCGGTCAAAATTGAGTCAATAATTTCATAAGGGTGGATTCTACCCAGAATTAGGTAAAAAGCTCCAAAATTGGATAAATCATAGTTAATTAAGCAAAATTCAAAGGTTTCAAAAAGACTGATACAGAATTTTTTTATGCTTATGCAAAGTATATTATTTAAGACTCTGATATACTAATTGATTCTTATCTAATCCCTCCTATTGCTTAAGTATGTACAAAAAAGTTTCCCCACCCCCCAGTGAAAAACACTTAAAGAAATAGCAGGTGTCCCCTTTTATTTTTGTTTACAATTAATTTAGACAAGTTTAAATCAATCCTTTTGATAACAAATCAAAGTTCAATGTCTGTAGTCTTATACATTACAATCAGAAGCTATTTCTTGAATTTTATTCTAAGAAAAGGAGAATTTAAATAATTTTTTTTTAAAAATTAAAGAAAAGCAAAAACTGACTTCAAACCCCAAAATGTACTATACAATAAGAGGCTGGAAAGTTAATAAATAAAAAATTTACCTGCAATGTACAGAAAACTGTCCGACAAAATACATCGGGTGGGTAGGGAGTCTCCATTTTCTTCTTATATAGAGAAAATGCCCCTGCTGATCAGAGACCTAACACTCCCAAATAATAACAAAATATGTTAACATAACAGTCAATCTAAGATGTTCATCCCTCAATGGCAACAAGTTTTTATTACAGTAACTGAAATTGTTAGGAAATAGGAAATCACAATTGGAATTCCTTTAAATGTACCTTCTCTTCGTTGTATTCAATATCGTGGATTGATATTGGCTTCCTTTTACTAGACTGTTTTTAGGGCAAGCAATTCCTTTTCCAGTTGTATTTCTGTTGAGAGGTGCTGCATTTCTTGAGTACAGTTAAATGTGCAGGATGCTGAGTAGTTGTGCTCTGATATCAACTGAAAATATATTGTAAATCATGTACAGTTAAAAGAACTTTATATATTATTAAAAATTATTGAAAATGTTTCAGTGTTGGTCATTTGTCATCATTGGTGTTTTAAATGAGCTTTACTTTTTCTTGATATTGACATTTTGGTGCTTGTGGAATCTGCAACTGGTCCATCTGTGAAGATGACAGGGACTCCTCACTTTTGAGTTTTTTTCCTCCTTTATAAAATAATTAAACTTGAATTTTTCTTATTCAGTTGTAAGCTACTCTGTTTATACATGTACCCTTTTAAAGATTTTTAGTAAAATATTCTCAATTAAACTCCACCCACCCACCATCCAAAAACAAGATGTCGGTCATATTTTGAAAAATAATTTCACCTTTTTGTACATTCAGGATCAGAGAAATCCATGGCCTTTCCTTCATTCCATGCAAAATATGCAGGGTCCCCCTCCTTCTTACCATCCTTAAAGTGGCAGGAGCAGATGCTATCATTCTGATCTCCTGGTTGGCGATCAGCTCGTCTAAAAATATACATTATACAAAGACTGAGTGAAGGAGAATTAAAAAGCAAAACATGTTCATTTAGCATGTTATTATCAAATAGCCTAAATGACTTATTTTTTCATTATTTTTTTTTTAAAATGTTACATTTACTTGCAAGTACAAGATAACCATGTGCATTATAAACATTAACAAACGGTAGCAGTATTTGGTAGTAATAATACGAAATAAAATGTAATAAAAACAGCTGTTAAACAAAAATTAATCTTGCTACAAATTGCACAGTTTTTGTAGTATGTACTCTTCATTATTCTTCTGCTATATTGATTACTACGAGATTTAACTTTTTAGCATGCATGTATAAATACTGTATCTGACAATGCAGCATCGTGACATATCGTTACAAGTACCTACAAATTTTGTCAATATATCTACGTTTACTGAGTTTTTTCCCTAGCAGGCCGAAATATCTCCATCATGTCACCAGGAACAACACTCGTGCATCTCGTAATTAGTGCTGCAATAAACAAACTGATGTGTTTTTTCTCACCTGCATGGTTTTCCCGACGCTTCAGCTACTTTCGTTATTTCTAACCAATGAAAATTGTCCTTACTTTTCTGTTGCGTCATGCAATTTTATTGCACGCATCACTGAATTGTAGAACACACATCACAAGATTTCGAATATACATCACAAGATTATCGAACATACATCACAAGATTTCGAATATACATCACAAGATTATCGAACATACATCACAAGATTTCGAATATACATCACAAGATTTCGAACATACATCACAAGATTATAGAATATACATCACAAGATTTCGAATATACATCACAAGATATTGAATATACATCACAAGATTTTGAACATACATCACAAGATATTGAATATACATCACAAGATTATAGAATATACATCACAAGATTTCGAACATACATCACAAGATTATAGAATATACATCACAAGTTTTAGAATATACATCACAAGATATTGAATATACATCACAAGATTTTGAACATACATCACAAGATTTTGAATATACATCACAAGATTTCGAACATACATCACAAGATTATAGAATATACATCACAAGATTTCGAATATACATCACAAGATATTGAATATACATCACAAGATTTTGAACATACATCACAAGATATTGAATATACATCACAAGATTATAGAATATACATCACAAGATTTCGAACATACATCACAAGATTATAGAATATACATCACAAGTTTTAGAATATACATCACAAGATATTGAATATACATCACAAGATTTTGAACATACATCACAAGATTTTGAATATACATCACAAGATTTCGAACATACATCACAAGATTTTGAATATACATCACAAGATTTTGAATATACATCACAAGATTTCGAACATACATCACAAGATTTTGAATATACATCACAAGATTTCGAACATACATCACAAGATTTTGAATATACATCACAAGATTTCGAACATACATCACAAGATTTTGAATATACATCACAAGATTATCGAATATAGCAACGTTTGACATGCCATAATTAAACGCAACGGTAGAAAATTTATTAAAATTCAAAACATGCAAGCATGACAGTTTTTGTTCATTTTAATACCCACCATGACATGCGGTTCAAACATCTTGCATGGTATCGGGTGAAACTGAGGGTATCCACGGCGGGAAATATAGCGTAATTTCACTATAATAGTGAAATACCACTATCATAGCGGAATTTACGTTTCCCCCCAACCTGGTTATTACAGCTGGTGCACATGAACCAAGTAGCTATATTTTTCATAAAGTGATCTATACATGTATAAAGCCTTGAGCTTCATACCAGAAATACAGTATGGCAGATAAGATAAAAACAATATGACCTTCGATCTCAAGACATAGAGACCGAGTTATTTCAAAGAGCAGTTTAAAAAAAACAAAACACCGGCTTATAAAAGCAAAATATCTATTTATAATTTTATAATGACTACAAAGGGTATAAATTTTTAAAATCAAGCATATTTGAATTAATTTTACAAAATGTCTAAAAGCAGCGCTAGCGAAGTACATTTTTACCTATCCTTATATACAATATTTTTCCATTCAGGTGTATTCTCTATAACAACAAATTTTCACGATTTTGTTTCTGTGTCAGAAAATAGAATCATGTCAACTTGGTCCTAGTTATCATTACATATTTCTAAACATGAAGTTTTCAATACATTCAAACAATGACGAGTACAGATTGTATATGCTGCTTCTGTTATTCAACAAATTTTCATGCTTGAAAAAGCTTATCATCTGTGCGTTGGAGACCGCGACTGAGAGCATGCCCCTTCCTCTCAGACTGCATTCGTCTTCTCCTCAAAGACTTTCCCGTCGCATCTTGAATGTTTTTATCAGTTATGTTAAGTTTATCATCAAATTTTTGTACGTCGTCATCTATAAGGGCCAATTTTTTAAGATCCTGAAGGCTCCTTATTCTGTTTTCAAATCCTGGTTGCTTATCAAATTCTTCTGATAGTATGAGCAGGTCAATGTGCTCAACTGTAGAATAAGGATCGGGTCCAAGTGCTATTTCTTTCAGACGGTTTTTGCAGCGGTTCATTTCTATAATTAAATTGAAAATGTCAATATTCTTTTCATCTAAGTCGTCTGATAGCTCTTGAACGTACTTTTCGTGCGAAAGTGTTTGTCCCATGGCTTTTTCATACTTTTCCTTCATATCAGCATATGTTTTCGTCACAGTTTCTGTCACACATTTCAATCTGTATGACGCATTCTTATGGTCCGACCAGTGACAGACATCTGGGCAGACATTGCAGTATCCATCATCATCCATCACCTTGCATTTCCGTTTTTTCTCATTGTCCTCGACACGACACCTTTTGTGGCACGTGACGTTGCAGTTTATGCAATTTGTAACATTCTCATCCCATGGCAGGTCAATCTTCTTCTGCTTTGTTTCCGTGACCTGATACGTAAAGTTCTGGTTAGCCTTTATGGTATTTTTATACTTTGTAAGTATATCCAGCTGTTCTTTTAACTCTGATAATTTTGACAATCCAGCAGAAATTTGTGGACGGATGTTAGAGACGACAGATTTTAAGCGTTCTCTTTCTTCTAGGACGTCTTTTGTTTGATGCAGACTCTTAGTTTCGAATTGGTTAATATGCGTCAAAAAGTTTTCAAAATTACAACGTCCCATGTCCCAGAATGATTGCGATAAAGACGAATCAAGCATGTTCTTGTTTTCGGCAAAGAGAGCTGAATTATTGAATTGAAAGATAGAACCAAATGGGAGCTTGGATTCTTTTAATGACGCCAGTACCCGCGGTTCTGCGCCATCAGCAAATGTCACTAATGTGCAAATGTTTGACTTTATATCTTTTCCAAAAAGTGACATAATGGAACTGAAGATGTACTTCTGTACTGCTGTGAGACGTGCATCTGGCGCTTTGACTATAAAACACACAGCATCGATGTAAAGCACACCTTGTTCACCTTGCGCTGAAAATAAATGACGTATTTGGTCGATGATACCATGATCCCTTTCAAGTCCTCTAGTGTCCCCAAACCCTGGTGTGTCGATAATATTGAGAGTGTAGTTAAGCCGACTGTCTTCTGAAGGCATGATTTTATAGACGGTAATCCATTCCGTCTGAGATATAGCCTAGACAAAATAAAACTTAAAACAATGAATAACTCTTAAGAAAGAAAAAACAATGAATAACTTTTAAAAAAGCTAATTTCCAATTAAAAACATTTGATATAAGAATTCATCATTCAATTTATTCCACAAGTCTTGAAACTGTTTTTAACAAGACAAAAAGAGACAAAAATATTTTCTGCATGGTTAATGTGTTAAGCAAAATTGTCCTCTGTTCTCTGATCTTGTATTTTCTCTGCAGTTAATATCAAGCCAACCTATAAGCTAGTTTTTTTTTCGCTTGTGTATTTTCGTGAAAAAAAAACCATTTCAAAAAGTCTTTTAACCCAAGTACCTGATTGTTGATTTTCATTTCGTCTTTCTCTAACGTTACCAATGAAAATCTGAAGGGGTCCTCAAAGTTGACACCAAGAACATAATTGGCAATACCATCTACCAGCGTACTTTTTCCAGAGCCGGTTGCGCCGACTAACATAATCGTTCTTTCGTCATCATAACCCATTCTCGGTTTTCCTGGAATTATAATTTCAAATTCTTTCCATAATGACCTAAAATCAAAATTATAACGTTTAATATTTTACGTTTTTATAACTTGGAATATAGAATATTTTTTTCCGTTGTATGTATACATACCTAGTATCAATTGCCTAGTTCGTGCAGCTGTGTTCCGAGCTCTTAAATTCTCCCGCACGGGAAGTTGATATTTGTTGGGGATATCTGTGCTGATGAGTGTTGAATGTTTAATAAGAGTCGTTGCCATGGATTCTGTCGTCACAATGGAATCATTGCTTGGCCCATATGGTCCTTCCTCATCTTCGAACACTCCGCGCACTTGAAATATATATGCCGTTTTTGCTTTCAATCCTGTTATGATTATTCGATTTTCATTTTTTTCAGTTTCCTGAAATTTCCATTTTTCCACTCCCCCCTTGCTTTTATAACGGATTTGGTAATGATTGCTCGTATTCAAGGATTTTTCCCAAAACAAAGCCACAGAATTAGAATTAACACTGGATGCATAGGGTTTTCCAGGGATCTGAAAAATAGATTTGCACACAAAAATAATTAAAAATCATAAGTTATTCCTCTAGTACAGAGGGATACAAAAATTTACTATACCTTATTTCCAGAAAGTAATAATGAACTTTTGTCATCTCTGAAATCAGATAATGAGTAGAAATTAAAAACTGTACAAAACAATATAGTTTAAAGAAAATATTATTAATAACCATATGCCTTTATTTTTACCATTGTATCTATGAAAAGAAACAAAATATTTCTTCTTAATTTTGTGTTTGAAATTATGGAAATGCGGTTTTAACCTTTGATTAAATATTATTTGAATCCTTTCTTTCTTCTTTTTTAATATAAGAATATTTGTACAAACTAGTGATTGATACTAAAAATAAGAAGTCCAATAAATTTCTGCATGACACTGTTTACAATCAACGTTCTGTAAGACTGACAAATAAATAAAATTTTATTTAGTTTGTATATGTAGGTAAAACAAATACTGTAAACGTATAACAATTACTGTAATTACTTTTTAATACTAAGAAAATCAGATTAATGCCATGGTGTGTGTTTCTGAAATGAATTTGCAGATACATATTCTGTATGTACAACTAACAAGTAAGCATAATCATTTCCACTCACATGGGATTTTGGTGACACGAGGTCTGTTGGTCATTAAAGTCTTTTATGCAGCTATATTTGCCCAGGGTATGACCACGGTTAGATCGCTGACGCAGATGTTGCTTTGCGCACATCTCGCACAATGGTTCATGATCTTGGCATGTTTCACAGAAGTGTGTAGCAACATTTTGCAAATTTTCGAAAGAACAGGGACCACAATTACGTTCATTTTCTTTCACTTCGACGTTGTGCACCCTAAAGAAGGTAATAAAATAAAGTTCAAGAATGCAAATTTGAAACAGAAACCTATTCATCTTAAGAACAGATGATACAAACAAACTTTTTCTTTGAAAAAGATTTAATATCATGTCACAAGTTTAGAAAAGTGGATGGTTCTTAGAATAATTTCTCCTAAAAACTTAAAACCAATACCTTTTTATAAATTATACAATATATTACTTTTCTTAAATTGGTAGATTTTTATACCTATAAAAAGTTACTCTCTTTAATTGAACTTATAAAAAAAACATATTTTGGTTTTCCTAATATACTAAAATTGTATGTAGTTTC